ACCCCCCCCCCCCTCGCCCCCTCCGCCCCTCCCGCTTCTCTCCCCGTGGTGCCCTTCACCAAGCGTAACGTCGAGCTTTTTCCGTCTTTTCCACTATCGCGCTAGACCGGCCGTTACGCACCCTCTGACGGTAGACTGTAACAGAAGTCACCAACGAAAGAGGGCGATAGAGCATTCCAGCTGTTCGCCGGCTGATTTTTCCAGGAAATAAATTCCTCCGCGCTTTTTATTTCATTCCTCATATCTATGTTGCATGATACTGAGAGAGAGAGACGTCGCTGGGACTGGGGATGGTACAGAGGACTCTGGAGATCACGTGGAGCCACGGAGAGAGAAAAATCCGTGAACTTTGTCAACGGCGGTCTAATTTATTAGACACGGCGCACGTGGTATACAGTGGGACAGGGGCAGACCAATGGAAATCGGATTTGTGTCAGCTGGCAGCGATCGTATCAGCCGGAGGGGTGGAAACAAAACCGTCTCCCGAGGAATTTTTCTCGAGTTCCTCATTCGGGACTTTGGAAAAGCGAGCGTGTGTCATGGGCACACTTGACTCGTCCCCTCCGTGAATTATAGGCGAGTGTGCACTTGCTGGTGGAGGGATCTCTCAACTATCAGGAACAGAGATGCCTTTTAAAGTGAAAACTCGAGGAGGGTGGCGGGGATCGGGTGCCTCACACACTGGGAAATTGTGTAATTTCCGTGAGTGGAGATTTCAGATGAGAATCAATTATGACCGCATTTTTTTTCGAGTCCATCAGAGGGAATTCTGTTGGATCACCATATTTTCTGCAGTTGACGAGGGTGGGCATATGCGGGTGGCTGGGGCCCTGTGAGCTTTGGGCTCTGGGCGGAAGCATACCCCACGGATCACGTCGTTGGTACACTCTGACGACGGATTACAGGGAGGTGAGCGAGTGAGAATGAGAGGAGAGCGAAGGGAAAAGCACCAAGGCGAAGTGGAGATTCGTGTTAGCAGGCTTGAGGCACTATTCCATCCAGGGCGCCCAGGTATTACCACGGCCGTGATGAGCATGCGAAGAAGATGGACCGCGATTGCCCGGCTAAAGCTGATGAAAAAAAACTCGATATTTTACCCGAAAATCAAATAAATCAGGAGAAGAGGTTCTACACTGGTGGAATGAATCATTTATTTCGAACGAGATTCGTTGAGGATGTTTCACCATAATTTGGATATCATATGCCAGGTTAATTTTGAGCCCCACGTTAGTAATAATCTTAATCCTTCCATCGGGCCATCCTAGTGAGAAATTAATCTCTGAAAATCAATTCTTGCAACATTATGCTTAGGGAAGAAACGCGACCGTGTGAACTTTGATCGAGATTTTGCATGGGTTGGACACTCAAGATATTGAAAAAAAAACCAGAAGCCATTTACTTTAGACTGTGGGGAATCTATCGCCGGCGAGAACAAGTAGGGGACCGGGCCGTGTAGGCGAGATATCTTCGATTGATTTTCGAATTCCTCTAAAAAAATTTGACCGCCATTACGAGTCGAGCAACGCGACAACACCGCACAACAGCTGATCGAGGTCGGTAAAGTCGGTGACGATAATTCAGTGCTGAAAGCATATGGACACGTATAACACACACAAATATTCCTCTCACTGTTACAACCCCACTACTAGCCGAAGCGTGCGATGTTGCCCGATCAAAATTCGACTGTTACCACTGCACAAGTCCGCCATTATTCATGAACATTTTCTTTAATTATTGTTCTTGAGACCGGAAAAGTACGCCACAACACTTCTAATTTGATGAAAAAAATAATTTGTAACATGAATGATTTATTTAGTCAATGTTATTTTTATTTTCAACAGAGTTATCCAGTTGATAGGTTAAACATCCTTAACTACTAACGAGTGGTAGAGTTGAACATGACCAAATAAATATTCGTTAATAGTTAACGATCTCGTTTGGAATAAATGAATCATTCTATCAGTGTAACGCGCCAATTTCTCCTCGAGTTTGTGCACTGATAGAACGGATTAGTTATTGTTAACGAATGGGTTTTGGTTGGAGGTTAAGATCTATTCGGTGTCACCAAATGTTCATTCGTTAATAGTTAACGAGTGTATATTTGAGGAGCCTTTTTTGACTTGACTCGCCATTCAAGTGAACCATTCGTTAACTATTAACGAATATTCATTTGGTCATATTCAACTCTACCATTCGTTAATAGTTAACGAATCTCGTTTGGAGTAAATGAATCATTCTATCAGTGTATTAAACTCTCGGGAATTTTTCTAATTCTCATTTGCTCATTCTTCGGTACCGCGAAATAATGGTATTGACATTTTGTGTGGGTGATTTATATTAGAGGATAACTGAGATTGCCGACGATAGACAATTTCGTTGAATTCAACCGATCAACCCCGTTGCCGTGACAATTAATTAGGCCAGATAATCAGGATCTGATTGGCCCCCTTCCTCCCTCATCGCCTTACTTTATTGCACAAGGCGGAGATATAATAGGTTCTGTACTTGATATCAATTAAGTTGTAGAGACAGCCACTTTGACGCCATTATAGCATCACTTATCTGGAATTCAATTGCATCGGAATCAATTGCTCTTCCTACCAATTCCGAAAATACATGTGAGACATCCGTTTTTCTTTCTGGATTCACAATTTTCCTTTTAACTTCTTTCAGAATGAATAAATAAATTTGAGGGGAATGACATTAATCTCGATTGGCCGAAAAAACAGCCACATTTTTTCAGATTTCACTGGACAATCAATAAAATTCCAAATTTTTGGAAAGTTACTTAAATTTTCACTTACAATATAAATATTCAGTACTAAAAAACGATGAATTTTCGATTAATTGGAAATTGATGAATATATTTACCCGAGTTTTCCTGATTTCTGTTAATTTTCATGGAATAATGGAGCTGAAATTTCTGGCCTTCAGTGATTTTTATATATAATTTTGAATTTTCTGTTACGAACATCTTTGAAATTTAGAAATTTCTAAGCAATATACTGGATATTTTCGTCGCAATTTTTTTAACAGTGTGAAACCCTGATGAAACTGTTGAGGACATCGCAAGTAAATGTCTTTAAATTTAATTATGTCACCTTTAATTATCTTCATTTGGAGAATTACTAAAATGACTCTTCTATTAGTGAAAAGTATTTTGGTTCTCATTTTTACTTCCGCTGTGTGAGCACACCATTCACAAGTGCTATATAACAGCGCAACTTCAATCTTTGCTCGAATTATTACTGTAATGGGTAAATGCGATTTGAAGCTTGCCCGGATTCATCCCGTGTACGAGTCCATTCACCTGGAAGAATAAGAAAAATAAAACGTAATAGAAAAGCGAGGCAAGTAGGAGAGAAGAGCCGGAGAAAACGTTGTTTGGCAAAACCAAAAATCACATCTCCCTCGAAGAGACTTTTATCGTGTTTTCCATTCTTTTTCCAACCGAGGAACGCTCGCTACTGGTCGAGAGAAATAAAAGAGTTGTGCCCCACACTGCGTTTGCAAATACGTGATCTGAATTCACAAGTAGTATTGCAACGTTGACAAGACGAAGCGAAAAAGGGATTGTCCCTGAGTAGGTTAAGCCATAACTCCAATGATCAATGTCAAAACTACTCTCTGGACCGTGTCTCTTGCTGAGTCGAGACCAAAGAAGATGAAGTTTGAGTGGTATTTCCTAGTTCGTGCGTGAGGAGTGGAGAAAGTGTGCGAGTCAAATTTTCCCAAGCACTCGGGGCTTTTTTCACCTCCATCCTCGTTATTTTCCTTTTTCTGTTGCTTTTGGGCGACCACCAATACATCAATCTCCCCCGTGACCCTGAAGTGAACTCCTTCCGGGTGGTCCCGTATAATCCTGGGATAAACCCTGTAAATCAGGAGGTGACAGGTCGAGAAATGATTCGCGCTGGTGATAATTAACGAATCTGTCCGACACTGGTAGAAAAGAAATTCAATTTCCCTCAATGTTTTGGCTGAAATTCGGGGTCCAATTTTTAGAAATTTTTATCGCATTATTGTTTCGCTGAAATTTTAAGGAATTTAGTAATTAAAAATTCAAAATTAGTCCAGGAAAAGGGTATCCAAGTACTTGGGCTATTTTTTCTCCAGTGAAATGCGTTTCTACTTTTGTAAACGAACATCACATTTTGCTATCATTTTATTATTTAAATTTTGCAGGTCTGAATTTGAATCTCGATATTGAACCGTTAGAAAGCATTTTTTTAATCTGAAAAAAAATTAGAACGTTTACTTTTGGAGGAAGATGAAATAATTTAAAAATTGCCGGTTTTTCAAATTACGACCTTTTTCTTTGAATTTATTCATATTCAGAATTTTACCAGAAATCGATTTCATACTTTAAAGAATGAGGTTTTCGAAAGTCTAAAGAATTTCAATTATTTATTCATAAACAACATAATTCTGTGTAAAGTGTAACTTGAATGACGCTGAATATTCATGATTTTTTTCGAAATTTTTCTGAGGTAATTTAATTGACGTGAAATTTCAAGTGAAAATGCTTGAAATTTTTAACAGCGACAATTACCTGAAATTCCTGTATATTTCTTCATCGACGAATCAGTTAATTTCTTGAATATTCAAGTAATTCTCGATTTTCAGGTCTATACGGCACTG